AAATGAAGTCGATGTCACTAAATCGATCTGTGACTTGGTTTTCGGTTTTTTGACCTAGCGCAAACAATTCGTCAATTGTCTTGGAGTCATCTTCTTCGCACAAACGATCCAGGATTTTCCCAGGAGCCAATCCTGTGACGAACTTGTCTTTCAGAGCCCTCGTCAGATCATCCTGGAAACCACACAGTGTGGCAGCACTGCGTATCTTGGCGTACCACTCCGCTACACTCAGCACACCTTGCGTCATTTCATAAAATTTCCTTCTCTCTCTCCAGATACTTCTCGATGAGGAGAATTGCTTCTTCAATAGGGTGTTCAGCTGTTCAAAAGACTTGCTCTGCGGGGTATCCGGGAAAGAAAGGTCCTTTAGCAATTTGAACGTTGTCTGGCTTACGGAACTCAACAGTATTGCAACTTTTACTTTTTCTTCAGTTACTTGGTTTGCCACATAATGCTGTCCCAGTCGTTCCACATATATCCCCCACTCATCATTTTCAGGATTAAATTCGAAAAACTTCGTCGCCGGTAACGCCATTTTGACCGACCTCGATACCATGCACTAACTTCCGAATTCAGTTTTATCCTTCTTTTTTGTTTATCCGTTTACATCCTCGTCGCCACTGTTATGTCTGAAGGTGGGCCGGGAGTTAAATAATACTTCCAACACTAGTTGATCAGGTTTTACTTCACTTTTCTTTTCAACTAACATTCCATTGTTCTCTACATGGCATCCCGAATTCACCTCCCTGAAGGTATCTGTGCGCATGCTCGCCTGTGTGGCGGCAAATACAAACAGTATACAACAGAAGTGGTGGTACTTCTTTTGTAATTCTGTTGTGAAGTGCCTCAGAGATCTCATATGTCCTCTGCAATTCAATTCATTTATCAATCATATGACCACTGTTTTTGCCCATTGTCCATTTATTATATTTACAGATGATCTGAAAATGTCCAAAATATATTTATCAGTTGCTGAGGATCTAGATAATATTTCTGAATGGTGTAATATCAAGGTACTACACTCGAATCCAAATGAATGTCAGAAAATTACTAGAATTAATAGAATAATTGATTAAAAACATACATGAACAGAGGGACTGAACCAAAAACACTAAATAAAAATAGAAAGTTTTCTTCAGATTGAGGAGAGCTATTCATGACAATGATTTCTAAAAAACTAATCTGAATTAATGTATAGCGAAACACGTGTCGCGGTTTTGTAAAACCCTTTTATAGTGAAAATCATACAATAAACTATAGTGATAAGTTTTTTAATATGGATTTCCATCAAGTGTTGGCCAGTTCCATTCAACAATGATTTCTATTGGAATTATTTAAAATATCATATTCATCATTGATGGTTGCAAGGTATCCATTCTTCTGAAAGAAATGAGAAAACGACTATAGTTACCGGTCATCTTGTAAAAAATACCAGAATGTCAATCAGTCTCCGTTGAACTTTCGTTTCATTCAGATATGACTAATAATTCCTGAGAATAACGTATCGTCATTTGAGAACTATGCCAGTACCACACATTTTTCAAAAAGAGTCGTACCAATATTCAGTTATTGAAGAATTTGAAAACGTTAAAAGATAAGTCATTTGAAAGAATTGAAGTGTGATAATATCCTATGAAAGACATTTTCTGCATAGAAGTCAATGTTTCTCTTTCCACAATCTGAGATTTTCTTTTATAAAAAAAATCTGTGTTTCCGGTAATCAGTAAAAAATTGTAATGAAAGACAAACTGAAAAGTATCCGAAAATTCACTGCGTAGTATAAAACACAGAAAAGTTCAATTAGTCATTTACTTATCGTCTTCATGAATTTTGCCTACAAATTGAATATTTGGTAGAAATTTCAATACTCAAGTTTCTTCAGATATTGGTTTTTAAAATCACAAATATTTTACTTGTGAAAAACATCCATATATCGAAGAGTGAAAGGAAATACAGTGATTATTTTGTTATTTCAAAAATCAACATCTGTAGTTCAGTATAGATATTTTGGCTTCTCCATTGAAAATTCAATTTGCAGGCAAAATCAATGAGACAAGTTACTAACTAATTGGACTCCTCGATGGTTTATATAACTCAGTAAATTTCCCAGGTAAACCTTTCAGTTTGTCCTTCAGCAGATTCTCTATTGATACAGCTTTGTACATTCATCATTTATCAGCTAAGTTTTCGATGTAAAAATAGAAAAGCGTGATACGAAGATACGTAACATAGTTTGTAATTGCACAAAATCTTACAAAGTTTTCGATTTATCTGGTGAGTTTTTATTCTAGTGTTGAGGCCATTCCAATAGTATGTTGATCATCCTGAAAAATGTGTGAATGTGTTGATATTTGAATTCATAATTTCGGATAACGTGAAGTTAACAAAAAGTTTTTCGTAATACAGAAAAAAATACAACCAATTCCGATTAGGTACTGAACAAAGTTTCAATATCTCGTTCTATAGTTTTCTAGTTGACAAAATTATTTTCATAACAAATACCACTCATGTTTTTTCAATCAACAATAGGGTTGGTATATTCAGAATATACATAGGATATCAATTTTGTAATCGAAGTAACTCTCTATAAATTTCAAAACACTTTTTTTTTGTTTTGTTTTTCCAAATACCTCAATATATTTTTCAAGTGGATCAAATACATTTTTGTGAAATTGTCCAAAAATAGTGATAAAAAAAATTGGGATCTGATCTGGAACCTTATGTACATCAGAGAGCCTACAAACTCATGGTAAGTAAATTTTTCATTCACTTCATTATGTGCAAGCAATTGCAGTTTTGGGCGCATAGAAGTTTTTCAATTACTCATTACAAAATTTTGTAAGAATTTTATAATCAATTCTTTGCGAGTAATATGCAATTCCTCACTACCTCCGGTGATTCCTGAACCTAGGAATATTGTAGTCAATTGAGTTCAATTTAATTCAAAATTACTCTGTTTGCTGAAAACATCATCACTTCATCAGCATAAAAAAATGTATGGACATCAAATCATAAACATGGATCCTTTTTGTAGCGTTTCAATCCTAGGTCAGTAAGCATTTTTGCCAACATTTTTGAGCTTGTTTGAGTCTATGAAGAGATTTGGTTAGTTTATATACTGGGTCCTCCAGATTGACGAGGTTTCTAACTGTTTCAAAATCTGTTTTTCCGTTAACCAGCTGTCGCACCCTTACGAACAACAACTCTCAAATGTCGAAACTTGTGCGAGCTAAGGACTAATGAGATCTTACCTTTCAACGTGTGATTCCTAACAAATGTCTGAGCAAAGTTCTTGACTTGAGCTCTAAAAATGAAAATTATTTATTGTTGTTACAGTGAAATATATTTTAACATTTTTGAAACATTATCGTATGTAATAATTTTTAAAAATTGATAATCCCAGCCAAGTATTAAAATATAGTTCTCGAATTGATCCATTTCTACTGTACTGACTCATTTAATAGCATAAATGCCAGCGAATCCACGGTTAAAAGCTAGTGTAGAATAGAGAAAATAACTTTTGTCTAGTTTCTACTAGTTTATTAATTGTTACAACCGGTTTCTGTTTGTTAGACCATTCTCAAGTAACTTGAACCGGTTTCAGTTCATTAGACTACTCTCAAGTTACAAATGATAAACTCCGTAGAAATTAGAAAATTTATTTTCCTTATTCTATATTCAGTTTTATATGCTGTTCTGACTTTGCATGAATGAAATATGTAGGTACTTCGTCATATTCTTAATAGAGAAAGATATTTGAGAGATATATTTCTCTGGAGTCTGGAACTCATTTTTGTATTACCTGACACCATCTATAACGGCTACAAAAGATACCCCTTATTAACGCGTTCGCAGGTTAAATATTCTCCTATTTTTCTACTAGGTAACTAATACCCACCAACATTCTGAGTGGACTATTATGCAGATGCAATTGAAGCTCTGCAAAGAACAAAAGAATGGAATAAAAGTGTAAATGGAATGTACTGAAAACGATGTTCTTGAGGCAACGGTGATGAAAATAATTATCCATTGTCTTCTTCCAATTACCAACTCGGGAAAATGCGGTTTTGTGAATTACTTCTCCCAGAAGTAGGCCTTTAAGGAAAATATTTTCTGTCATAGACATCACATTAAACCGATAAATTCTCAGAATCTAATTTCATTTGATCGCCGTTATCAAAGAAGTCGCCAGTGTGTGGCTGATTCAAAGTTGTTCAGAAGTAGTTGATCTGCGCTGTAACAAGTTGGGTTTCAGTTTCCTAATTATTTTTTTTAGTATTACCAGTTTTCCTCAAAAATAATTTCAGGAGAATTTTGAGCCGTTCTATTCTCTATTTCTTTTTTATTTCAGGAAATTCTTTGTTTTCAGTTCTCATTGGTTCGAGCCAAAATCAACCAATTAGAATGTAAACTTTACTTTTGGAATTTGTCGATAATATATTTTCAAGTTCGTGAGTAATAGTATATTGTACAACAAGTGAGAAAAACGACATATTTCTCAAGAGCGCAGAAGTTTGTTAGCATGAACCGAAGTCGAGTGCCGCAAATCAAGCGAGTGAGGAATATGTAATTTTCTAACGCATTGTACACTGTACTTTTTCTACGGTTGCGTTGTTTTCAAGTTTTGAAAATTAAAATACATACATAATAATACTTGTATGTCATCAAGTCATTTTTATATTTCATTTAAAAAAGTAATTGACAGTTATATTTGAACATTTTTGTAAAATAATTCCTGTTAGGTCGTTTTGTTTCAACATGTTTTCGTTAATTGAAATATTAGCTGTGGTCGGAATTGAAGCTGATGGGAAAACGTACTGAGCTTCCACAGCATTGTTGTGTTTAGATTCTGATGGCGCTGGAGGCTGAATGGTTTCTACTATATTTTTTGAAATTTTCATTTTGTCAGCTATGTAGTTGTTGGTTTTAGTATCGGGTAATTTTATTAAAAGGGCAGAATTAACACACTCGCTGCCGGGTGTATTACTTATGATACACCATGTAGTGCTTTCCACAGGCCGGGGGTATCCTAAATGATACACGGACTATTATTCTGTCTGAACAGCGGTGTATTCCCTAGAATACATCGGCAATAAGAAATACATTAGCTTATGGTCTCTGCGGCCTGGCAGCATAAAGAGAAACTTAAAGTTTTGGCCTGGGGGGTTTTGGTGGGGACTATTGTGTGGGTATGAAACAAATATCAATGGCAGTAAAGTAATTTGATTTATTCATGTGAATACAAAGAAAAAGTAATTATATCAACGTAAAAGTAAGTTTGAAGGCGTTAAAAAAATACATTTAAAAATAATAATCAATGACAATGGTTGAAACATTCTCTGCAAAAAAATGGATTTCCCTCACACTGATCGCAGACAGTTTTCACCTGTGCAGCCATCTTTTTTTGTGCCATCTACCACTTTACCATGCTTACCAAATGTTTTATAGCATTCGTTGCACCGACCCCTTTTATTTTGATGATGTTGAACCAAATGATGGATTCTTCTCTTGGCTTCTACTCTTTGTTGTTGTTCAGAAGAAAGAAGCGATTGTATAACACTCTCCCTAAATTGCGTGATTGTCAATTTTGTAGAGTGTACCGAATTTTCGCAATACAGAAAGTAAGCATTCACAAGACTGGTTCCCCACAAAATTTCGATGATTACTTTTCGATACCATTTTACCGACCTACGTAGAGATGTGTTATATGATGATAATTGGTCGCTTACATCCACCGACGATTTTCCGGCATCATAGTCTAAAACGCATACAGGTTTCACAGTTTCTCTCCCAATATTTGAAGTAACAGTATGTGTATCTGTACTCTTGTGAGTGGTGGTCAGCATCATGACGTCCCTTTTATCCTTCCATTTCAGTATGGTTATTCCATCAGCGGATTCTTTAGCGATGATTTCACCTGGAGCATATTTGTCAGATTTGCGCTTTAAAAATGCACGTAGTTATACGTATTTTGATATATCAACACAGTTTTCAATAATTATGGTACTCCTCAGCATCGAGTACTGAGTCAATAATCTTGATGACTTCAATCTTCTTGACAACTCTTCAAAATAAACTAACAAGGTATTTTCGGAACAAGAATTTACCTTTGCTTTATTTTTTCAGTCCATAAAGTTTCTGTAAGCGATTTCATATTTTTCTCTTGATGTGCTTGGTAGCAAATTATTGCAAACATCTATTGCCTTCTGAACAATTTCTGAAGGTGGATTTCCAACTCTAAATCTTTGTATTCCATTATATTCAATATTTAATAAATCTGAACTGTTTATACTATAACAATCAATAATAAAACTATTTCCGTTGGGTGAGTTGACAGCAATAATAATTATGCAGTGCTTCGGTTTTGCTGTTATGGAAACGCCGACAATGGGCTAATTGGACATTGCACGTGAATCGTCGGCGTAGCGTTGTCAACATGGAGAACGTGTGATATCAATCTAACATGTAACAATTCATGACTGACTTGAGTTATCGTGATAACAGTAAGAAATTATTTCTCACTGTAATAGCGGATATTTCTCACTGCGTGAAAAATTTTCCGTTTTGAACATATGAAAGCGATGAGAGAAGTGGCACATTGTATAGTATCCGTAGAAAAACTATTTTTTCGCTTGAAGAGAACCTCGAAGTTCATATAAAACATAATTCATTTAAATAACACTTCATTGTGAGATTTTTCATAGACACGTGTTTTTCTATACGATAGCTTCATCGAGCGTTTTTATAGTATGCGCCTGTGTTTCAAAAAATCATTTTATAATTACGTAATCAAAATAGTACATGGACTGTTCAGAAATGTAAGTGAATGTTTATATTTCGCGAGCATTGGATAAGCGAACACATGTTTGTAGTTTTAGCTATTTAGCTTGTTGATGACGGAAAAGAAAAGTGAAAGAATTTGCATCAGATTTTGTGTAAAAAATGAAATAAGGTACTCAAAAACACTTGAAATTTTGACAGTTGCATTCTGTGATTGTAATCTGTCAAAAAAATCATGCCTAAGCTACCGTATTCACCAGATTTGACCCCCTGGGACTTGTTCTCATTACCGAAATGAGAGAACCTCATGAAGAGACGGTGTTTTGAGAAGTTTAAGTCTGAATCGCTGAGAGAGTTCAAGGACATACCAAAAAGTGCATATTAGAACTGCTTCGAAGATATGAATAAGGCTGACACTAACGTAATATGAGACAAAATAGAAATTGGTGAAAGAATAAATATTTTCTGTGAGAAACGGAAATTCACCTCTTGAACAGGTAGTATATATCAAATATTCATGTAATGTTGAAGTTGTTTTTGATGGATAGATGACAGTACTACCAACTGTCGAAAGCGCTCGCAGATAATTAATAGAAGATATAAAGTATGGTTTTATCTCGCATAAATGTCTGTCGGATATAAATCAATATCCAGCGTGGTATTAGCCGGAGAAGTAGTTGTTTTCCGACAGGCATTTAACAGAACCCACGGTATAGGTAGTTGGGAGAGATGAATATTTTGAAATTTTATTTCAAAATATTTATTTTCTAGTATTTCATAGTAATTTCGTTAAAAATTAGTTACAGTCATCGCATGAGTTGTCTAAACTTGCGTACATAGTAGCTTTTGCACAGTTCTAATTTGTGAGGAAAGTAACTTCATCAGATTCTAATTTTGCATACTAACCACTTTGGGTGTTGAAACCTTCATATTGAATTAAAAAGAATTGACTCGACTTTTGTTTTAGCAAAATGATGTCAAACCCGAACCTCGACGTAGAGGCGCCCCACGAGGCAGGGGGAGATCCAGATCGAACACGAGGGAACCGATTAAAAGACCGCCTCTCATATCAGCCGTTAGTGATCCTTCGTTAATAACCCCTATGAATGTGAAAAAAATTGTGAGAGATAAGAAAGAAGTTGAAGATTTTTATATGCTTAATAACACTTAATTATGAAATACAGGTTGCGTCTTTGGAATCATCGTCTCAGATCGAGCAATACCAACTGTCACAGATTCAGCCAGTTCCTATCCAAGATACCCGGCAAACTGAGGATCTTATTTCTCCGAATTTCAGCGACATGATGTTGGAACAGCAAGTAGACTCATATATCAGCTCTAGTCAACAGTCGCCTTTCTCAACTGTGATCTCTAAGAACAACACTAAAACTACTAAGAATATACCACTGCCTCGTAACAAAATGCAGAACGTGGTTTACAGTAAATCTTCAGATAACGTTTATCCCAGTTATTCTCAACAAAACATCTCTAGTCAAGATGTCGACAGGATATGCAGTGAGTATATTTGAATATTTCAATTATTGTCGGTGTTATGACTCAATTCAAAGGATATTGTTTAAAGATTTTTTTTTAAGAATTTTATTCAGATAATGCTTTTTTTGTATCAGATGGAGTAGTAGAAAGCCAAAAACTTTCTTTCCCAAAAAATTAATCACTCCTAAAAATATAACCCTTTCAAATCAAACAAAATAATATTTTCAAGATTCACTTGAGAATACATAATAAAATGTGAATAAAAAAAAACTTAATAGTAATTAATACAGAGAATTAAATAGATTTAAGCCGTTCCTTCGATGAGTATGCTAGTATAAAAACTCTTTATTTTTTTCTTAAAGATACTAAAATTAGGGCTCTCTGTTTTTTCATTGGGAAGAGAATTATAAGTTTTCATGCATAGTGTAATGGGATTATTTAAGCCAATATGAGTACGTACAGGTTCTAAAAAGACATTATAATGGGTACCAGTATTATATTCGTGGAGCTGATTAACGAAAGTGAAGTTGGTATTACATTTGACTTGTTTATGTATAACCTTGTATTCAAATTTACCTTGCTCGATTTCATAGAATATCATGAATAGGCAGTATCTTGGTTACACTGTATAAAGCAGGGGTGGCCAACTTGATTAGACATAAGATCTACTGTTTACTGATGAAACCCTGGTGCGATCTACCACTTACATACTTCTTGAAATCCTAAATGAAACAGCATAGTGTTTAGTACACAATCATAAAATATTTTTTATTGGACAGTCTTAGGAGTCTCTTTCGTATCACATATGAGATTGTTTCCTTAAATTTACTCAATACTTTGGAATGGAAGTCTGAGTTGATGATGTTTAATCAACATTTATAGGTCCTATCTATATATTAGTATGAGCATTGCGTCGCAGTATCTTCCACTAGTTTAGCATAATCTGGTTTGTAGTTGGAAATTGCCAACCTTAAAGAATCCAATGTATGAGCGTCTGTCAAGCGAGAACGGTGTTTACTTTTTGTTTGTTTTAAGTAGGAAAATGCTGACTCACATAAATATGTTGAACCAAAACACGAATGAAGTTGTTTAACACATTTCTTCAAATTTGGATATTTTCCATTGGAGACCAATGCCCAGAAATCTTGTCCTGAGAATGATCTTGCTTTTAGAAATATGTCGCAGCGTAGAGTAATAATTTCGTTTTGTAACATAATGTGCTCCATTTGTATTATATCTGCGAATTTTGTAGCCAATTCATAGATATCACTATGATCAATGGAATCATTAAACGGATAACTGATGAATTGAACCAATTTCTCAATTTTTTTGAAATCACTAAAGCGAATTTCGAAGTTTGCTATCACTGCCCTAATTTCAGTCGTGTACTTCTCAGAAATGAAATTGTAGGTAGGATGTTTTTCCATATGGCCCTTGACGTTTACAAATTGTTCAAATTTTGTCTTCTCTATGTCAACTATCATAGATGCTGTTTGACTTTGAAATGCTGCAATAGAACTCATCATTTCTGTTAATGTTTTATTCTTGCCTTGTAGATTCAGATTTAATGTACTCAGTTTTCTAATAAAATCGGCCAAGAAATCTAAATCACATTGCCAGTCTAAATCACGTTGCGCAGTCTGGTCTATTTATTTATATTTTTTGCCTTTCCACGATCGACTGGACTAATGGTCGCGATCGACGGTCGATCGCGATCGACCGGTTGGCCACCCCTGGTATAAAGTATCAGCTGAGGTTCTGTAGTCAAGCCTGAATAACATTTTCACGACTTAGTTTTGAAGTATTTTTACTTTTTTGAATAATGTCTGTCCACATGTACCTCATATAGGAATTAAATAGCTAAAAATTGATGAGAAATATGCACTGTATATTTGATGGAGTGAAAATGGGCGTAAGTAGGTTCTACAACGATATAGGGCACTAACCATTGGAATTACTTTTTTTTCTACGTGGGTGATATGGTTATTTCAGCATAGGTTTTCATCAACTATTAATCCCAGATATTTGGTATTATGGACTCTCGTTATTTCTTTGCCTCCTATCTCCACTGTGATGTCCTGTTGTTTCATGTTTTTCTGAGAGAAGATTATAAAAGTAGTCTTCTTTACATTGATCTGAAGTTTATTTTTTGCAAGCCATCTATGATACCTTTCAAGGTCGGTATTTACTAGTGTTTCGAGTTGTTTCAAGTCTTTACCCTTATGTACAAGAACAGTATCATCTGCGAATTTAAAATATCTACCTATAATGTTAGCAGTTTTCAATGACAGAACATGTAATGTATAGAGTAGGGGTCCAAGGACTGAACCTTGGGGCACACCTGCTTTGGTAGTTTCAGTTTGGCTTGAAATGCCATCAACCATTGTGAATTGTTTGCGATCTAGAAGGTATGTTTTTAGTAAAGAGAGAGCATTTCCTCTTATTCCCATTTCTTCAATTTTTCAAAGTAATATAGAGAAATCAACAACATCAAATGCTTTTCGTAGATCAACAAATACAGCAATAGTATAGTATTTATCATCCAGTGAAGAAGCAATGTGGTTAATGAAGTCTATAGTTGCACTCAGGGTGCTACTATTTTCTTGGAATCCATATTGGTAATTGTCAAAGGCAACGCATTTTTTCATGTAATTGATAATACGTTTCTTTAAAATAACTTCTATTACTTTTGACAGAGTCGGAGCTACTGAAATAGGTCTATAGTTATCAATAATGTTATTTGGTCCTGACTTGTGTATAGGTGTTAGCTTGCTGACTTTGAGAATATCTGGGAATATACCTTGTTATTAATTTGACTAAAATAGGTATAATATAATCCCTGAGTGTTAAAAGATCGTTAGTATTTATTTTATCATAACCAGGTGCTGCATTTTTATTCAACTTATATAATTCTTCCTGAACTTCTTGGGAGTTTGTATTGTATAGGTACATTGAACAATCACTTATGATTTCCTCAAACTCAGAAGATGACGCTGTTTGTAGGTTTACACTATTCATTATTGATTTACCAATATCAACAAAATATTTGTTCATTTTTTCAGCCATATTTTTGGGATTATCAAGAATTTGTCCCTCAATTTCCAAATTAGTTATTTGATTACTTTGGTTATTGCCTTTTAATAAGATTATTGATGAGTTTCCATTGCTTTTTCTGGTTATTGCCTTTATTGCTCCATTTCTTTTCAAAGTATTCCTGTTTCAGTTTTTTGCGTTTTTTCTCTACAATATTTTTCTGTATTCGGAAATCCCTGAGTATTATATCCTGATTAAAAGGATGTTTTATTTTTTCTGAATATAATTTATCACGTTTCTTTAATAATTCTAGAAATTCCCTTGTAATCCAATCCTTACCTTCTTTATATTTTATATCTTTATATAGTTGTTGATTCTTTTTTACAAACAGTATTCGTGTATATATAAATAAATAGATTATGGCGACCGTAAAATAGGCGAAGCACACGGTATGTTGCCCAAACAGAACACCTATTTTGATAAAACAATTTCATTATTTGAACAGATTGTTGAATGCTATATCCGTCCATGGTAGTTTGGGTAAAACATACTGGTTAAATGACAAATAATTTGGCAGATGTATCTTCAACAGGATGGCCGTTATCATTTGTCAAAGTTTCGAAGTCTCTATTGGAAGACCCTATATAAGTAATAAGTCTATTGGATAAAAATCTATACATAAAAAGGAGCTTGTGAAAACATAAAAGTAAATTGAATACCAATATTCTTATTTCTGATTTTTTTTTCTAAATATCTGATGTAGACAATAATTTGATGCCACATTAGCTTCAAACAATTTTCAGATAGTGTTACAATTCTGCCTTTTAAAGATACCCGTATTTATTTATTCATTTATTTATTTATTTATATATACACGGGCAAGCCCAATTCGGATATAAGTAGTACAGTGCTATGTAGTACTTGATACAATACAGTGGATTAAAAGTAAGTTATAACAATAATACAATTCCAAAGTAAGATAGCAAATAAATTATTAAAAGAAACGTAAAACGTTTGCACCTGTCTAGTTGAACGATTGGACACATGTAAAGATATTTTGGAGAGAAGCTTGGGACTGATACTCAGTCCGTTGATAATTTTGAATAGAAGTATTAAATCTCTATGTTTTCTGCGAGACTCAAGAGAAGGTATATTCAAAATGCATTCCAATGCAGTATAGTCATAGTATACACGCATCTTGAAGGCAGTATATCGTAGGAAATTGTGCTATACGGCCTCGAGTTTCTTTTTTTGTGTGAAGTAGTGAGGGGACAAAACTGTGGAACAATAATCGAGATGAGATCTAACCAGGGAAAAATAAAGAGATTGAATAGCAGTGATGTTGGTGAAATCACGAGTGGTTCTCTTTATAAAGCCAAGTAATGTGTGATTTATAGCTAAGTGTGGAGTCTAGGATCATACCTAGATCTTTGGTTTCAGTAGCAGAATGTAAGGACCGATTATTTGCGAACACCAGTTGGATAGGCAATCTATATCGTTTTGTAGACACAATGTATCAGCTTCATTTTTAATTATTTTGAAACATTTTCAATCGTCGGCAAATAGCAAAGCTTCGCTTTCATGGAAACAGCTGATTAATGTAAAGGTTCTTGGAATTTATTTAATGTAATTCAGGCAGGATATTCAATGAGCAAATTGTCTATTCTAGTCTACGCAGATTCTATATTAATGCAAACTTTCCAAGCATCGAATTTTTCTATTTTGAACTTGTGTCCTTTTGAACAAACTTGGTTAATATAAGAACACAAGGTTTCACTGCCGAAGTCAAGATTAAAGAAAACAAAAATCCGAGCTGATAGACTGTGGATTAATGGAACCTGAAGTACCAAACGTATGTCATCAGTGGTATGTGCGTTGGCTTCAAAGGCCAAGGTCCAATCTCAAACCAACGACTGACTGGCGAGCTATGTGTTCACTCGTATTTATAATTTCATATAATGGTGGGGGGTGATGATACACATGCTCACTCCTGATTGGTCCGTACTTTTGCTGGGTTGTTCTGATTGGTTCACGTTGTTGACAGATATGCTACTGGTGGGATGTTGATCGGAGATGTATTCTAGTCACTTTCTGGCCTTCTTGGGTACAGAATATCAAATGTTGTTGATCCGTATACCTTCTTTTCTGTTGAAATTGTTGGGAAGCAACGACTGACTACCGAACTATGTGTTCACTCGTATTTTTAATTTCATATAATGATGGGGAGTGATAATGCACATGCTCACTCCTGATTGGTTCCTACTTTTGCTGGGTCGTTCTGATTGGTTCATGTTGTTGACAGATATGCTACTGGTTGATTGGAGATGTATTCTAGTCACTTTCTGGCCTTCTTGGGTACAGGATACCACATGTTGTTGATCCGTATACCTTCTTCTTTTCTGTTGAAATTGTTGGGATGCTTATAAATCTTAGTGGCCTCCCTATGAAGTCGTGCTTGATTGTACGAGGCGGCAGCTACGTTTGTGTTCTTGTATCCTGGTGTTGGCGATGCGTTTGGTAGTTTCGATGTAGATTGATTGACACGAATAGGGAATCCTGACATCCGTCGTTGCTCAGAGGATTTGGTGTCTGGAGATGAATAGAAAATATTGATTCAAAGTTTATTGTCATTCTGTATGAACCAAGATACAGTAACGGATTTTTAAAAAGTTGTTAGTGAAAGTAACTTTCAAATCTTCTTACTCACTTCAACAAATGTTCGGCAAACGAAAGACGAAATGTTTGAAAATGAAAAGTCGGGGATGTATGAAATAAGCTGTGAGGACTGAGACAAAAAATATATTGGTCAGACTAAGCGAATCATTGAAACTTGTTTCAAAGAAGTTGCACATATTCGATTTCTAAGACTAGAAAAATCTAGTATGAGAACTATGAACAGTGGCGAAGGTCTCATTCCAAACAGACAATTGTTTTCGTTTTTATGAAACACTCTATAAGAATTAGCGGGAACTGTCATGAAAAAAACTCTACCTGAAAACATTGATGTGTATCAGAAAGTGAAAGTGTACTGTGTTGGATATGTAGGAATGTAGGCTTTCACTGCTGGCGTCAAAGTTTTAGTTGGTTTCCGGGTTTTTTGCAGTGGTCTACTTTGGTTATAATCTCTAAACGTATCGACTGAAACTGCGGCAGTCATCTTCAGTGGCGTTTTAGAGTTAGGAATTAGTTCTCAAAGTAAATATCGTTGTCTTCACAGCATTCTGGTCGGCGTTTATCGCAGAGAGTTATTGTGAAATCCTCGTGGATTATTTAGAAAAACACCACACAGTTTATGTGACGGGGCATTTTTGGATTGAAGAATTATACTGAAGTCGTTTATTCTGCCCTATTCTTCAACCTTTTTTAGATTCTCTATGTGGTTACTCTTTATATCCAAACTGTTGTCACTTATAATTTATCAAAAGTCAGAAAATCAAATGAATTTATTTGTCCTCCGAGCATATCACAGTTTCATCACGGGTGATTGAAATGGTTGTTATTGTTAGAAATCCCTAAAACTAACTGATAATGAAAACTGAATAAGAGACTTAAAGACTCTCGATAAACTCACAGTTTATGTTTTTTTGTGTGATCCTACAAATAAACGATGAATTGATAATTAAGCGAGAATCGTGGTATTACTTATCTGTAAATGAAAACAAAACTCATATCAGTCTCATTAACGATACTAGACCGTCGAAAGATAGAAGTGCATGAAAATTGTTCGAACTTATTATTGAATTTCAAGTTGCCTAACAACATCGTTATGTACATTTCAAAGTCAGTTATTTTTTGCATATTGAAACTCAGTGAGTTATATCAGTCGGTCAAATCAGTTTTCTGATATATCTAGAATGTACATTCATTATCCACTTTTCAAATATCATTAATATTGCTTTTGAGGCGTGATTCATTTTTAAATGACAATTTAAGTTAAAAATTCAAAGTGTTGTTTTACATAATGAATGTTACTATCCAAAAATATTATAATAGACTGTTAAATGATCCGTGAGTAATCTAAAATGTTTGTTTGATCTTTTTTTTTAATTTCATTTGTCACCTCACATTTTATATTCATTTATTGAGTGTAAATATGAAGCACGATTTTTATTTACTAAAAATAACAGATACATCACATGCAAACCAATCTCAGGCGAGCCAGCAGCAGCAGGTACAGGAACTACAACATCAAGTGCAAGATATTCAGCATTACAAGTTGGTGACTGTTCAGCAACCTGATCAGAAGCAAAGTTATAAGTTCTCGATGGTGACCACTCCGACCGTAAAGTTCACAACATCGCAGGTACACCAACAAATGATGCAATCTTATCCTTCCTTCTCTCAGTATAGTAGTGTTCCTTCAGCTGTAAGTCTTTGGTTCTCAATTAATATTTCTTTCGATGGAATCGTCCCGCTTCTGATTTTTGTTGTAACCTTAACTCAAACGCATGCTTTTGTTTCGTTTTCCTTTGCTATTTTGTTGTTTATTTATTTTCTACTAATCCTTTTGAAAATTTTAGTATTATGGGATACCAGGGATTTTTTTATGGGATTTAAAGTTACTTATTTAACAGAAGACAATAAACTACATTTGGACAACAATTGTCAGATGAACTTATAATTGAGAGTGACATACCCCATGGTAGTGTGTTAGATCCATTGCTTTTCATTATTTATCTAAATGATATTAACTACATTTCTGGATCACACTGTATACATCTTTTTGCAGGTGATAGATTGGTTTATTATAAACATGAAAATTTGGATCAGGCAATTGTTGAAATGAATAGGCCTTTGAATAGCATTGAAACTTATTTTTTCAACAATAAACTTAACAACTTATTTAACAACAAACTCAAACTAAATGTCAGTAAAAGAAAAAGTATGATTTTGACATCATCTTATAAGTATGATCAAATTGTTTGGACAAATGCTGTTATAAATATTTATAATGTTAGCATTGAAATTGTGTAAAAATAAAATAGGGCAATTGTAAAAGTTTCAAAATCAAGGTATGCAATTAATATTGGGTTGTAGTTGTCACACAGCAATTAAAACTGGTTTTCAGTTGAAGAACATAAATTGTTTATGACTACGAGCTTTATATTTAAGCTGCATAAAGGATTGCTACCCAATTACTTCCAAAAATTCTTATTGAGAAATAATGAAGTTCATGATTACAATACGAGAAGAAATAACAAATTTTTACATTAATAATACTAATACTAAATTTAGAATGAATGGTATATTTTATAAAGGCTTAAACAAATTTAATAAACAACCACAATTTGTAAAAGAATCTAAATCAGTAAACCAATTTAAGTCATCATTAAAGAAGTATATTAGTGACAGCTCANTCAAGACTTCCAATATTGAATGTTACAGTAAGAGATTCATATGGAATACCTCTATCGGGATAGATACCATAAGATTTGAATTAAATAAATTTCAGAAAACGACGTTATACTTTTTCAATTGATGTATTATAGCAGTTGTAGAATGGATACCATAGAACAGAGCCATATTCTAATTTTGACCTTACGTAGGCTACATAAAGAGTAAATAGTGCAGATATGTTTGAAAAAGATCTACAATTGCGAACTATAAAGCCATAAACTGTCAATGCTACACTTACTTTAGATCTAATGTGGATACAAATATCTAAAAAGTGCAAAGCACTTTTCACACTCGGCAACATGCCAGCACCATAGTTCTTTAGAGACTTGTGACGTCTCCACAGTAGAATACATTTTTGATTGTATGTAAATTTCTACTTTTTATATCACTGTTTAGAGATGTTTTTGAAAACTATTTTGTATATATAAGATAATTAAGAATAAAGAGTTTATTTTTCCCCAGAAATAAAATCTTTACATGTGGCCTATTCATTCCTTGCAGATTCATCTGACATCGTACAGCAATTCGAGCAGCCCTATCACGGATCCTCTTTCTCAGAACATCCATTCACCTACATCATCACAAAGTTCGGTAGGCTCTCCTTGTGCCGAATCTTCTTCTCAACGCGATAGGCGGGTGGTGCATATACATGCAGAACAGAAGAGGAGGTTCAATATCAAAAACGGTTTCGATACGCTACACTCTCTTATTCCACAGCTCAATCAGAACCCTAATGCTAAGGTAAGTGAAGTAAGGAGTTGAGATTTGTGTGAAAGGATGGTCTATTCGTACTCTTGAAAGTTTGTCAAAGGAAAGTTATTTCAAAAGACTTATTTTCATCCAGATATTGTCTGTCATTAGAAGCTACAAGGTTTGAGTTCCATATTTTATGTCGATCCCATAGACAGCAGGATTGTTCTATGTACGACAGCTGGGTTTTAAAGTGTTTCTGATTTCATCTAGTTCTTTATATGAGGTCTGTTAAAAAAATAAGGTGAATGTAAAAATATTAGGTTAGGTCTAAAGTGAGTGGGTCTATTCGACCCTCCACCGCAACCCGCATGGGTTTATTGTGGCTCACACCTATTCACACTCGGCTAAATAAACCCATCTTCTTAACAAAGCCGATTAGTTTGTAAGGTGAGTGGTCTTTCAGGTCAAATGGTAAGAGTACGGTTCTGCCGAACTCTAAGAACCTCTCTATTGTAACTGTTCGACCCTACTTCTAAAGTAAAATGAAAAATATTGTTTTTTTAGCTGGAATTTGAAACACTCTTTGTTTGAAGGTGATTGACAATGTTTCGTGATGAATTTCACTAGTTCGGACTTCCATTGTCTACTATATAAAATGATTTGAAATCCCTGAAACAAGTAAAAAAGAATAATTAAAAAAGAATAGTTGAAAATAACAATTATATTAAGCAACAATAAACCTGAAATGAAATG